CTACAAACCAAAACAAAGTTGACCTTTAAGTTCAAACATACACGAGCATAGAAATAACCAGTATTTATTTACAAATACGACAGTTAGTACTTTTTTAGGTACTTACTCATGTGGTCGCTCTCTGTCCGATGACCTCAAATTGTTAGAACAGGCTAGGATCGACGCTGCACCTTATGGGATATGTTGTCCTCAACATCACGAACAATTTAAAAATACGCACAAGCTGGATTCTTTTGGGTGCTAGTTGCCTAGTATGGTATATTTAGCAAGCAACCAAATTGACATATTATCCGGCTGCGGTCATGACGTTAGTTAATATTTACAATTTCTGGAAAATAATTACTCGTGTTTATCTTTCTGAATGAACAATGGTCGTTTTTTTCCCTCGGGTACTGTTTGAACATTATAATAAGACATCAATTAAACATTTACCTCTATATATTCGAGGAAAATAGTACTGATGACCCAGCTTGTGCTTGTGTTGCGTCGTCTGCTGAAAGAGAATCGCAAAAACACGGCGCACTCTGTGAGAAGCTCTCATTTAAGAGTAGCGTCCCTTGAAAAAAAATCCGAAATCTACCTGACGTGGTAAGAACGTTGGGTCAAGTATGAAATGCGACCGCGAGACTGCCAACCATTGCAAGGTTGGGACAACGTCTGAATGCTATCTGGGATGTGACACTCACTATATAATGTGTCTACCTACACGTGGCATAGACCGATGATCTCAAACGTTTACGGGAGCTAGGTCCATTTTAAAATACATAACTCATGGGTATGGCGATGTTCGTAGAAGTGATTACGTCAGATAGTTGTATCATATGTGGCTGTTAAAAAAATCAAAATATATACTTGATGTTATTTAATCTTAGACGTACAGATGACCCCATTCCTTTCAACAATGACAAGCTACATGTGTATCTTCACCCCCTCTATCCACTAGAGTTGGAAATCACAGAAACCAGGGTTCAGTATCATATCTGGATGTATGCACATAACTTCAATAGGATGGCAACTCTGTTCCATTCTACATGATAATAGGGATGATTTCGGTTTTCCCATCCCCTTCATGTCTATTTGCTCCTGCTTCTGGCGTCTACGTTTCCCAGTTAATAAGGAATTCATTTTTCGAATTAACTTTTTGAGCAAGATTTCACCACCAAACGTCTGGTCAAGTCATTCCAGGAATGTTATGATAGACATTCAGAAGAATGTACTCAATATGACTCGTTTCTTGTCAAAGCGCAATGATATTGATACTATCACTTTTACTGGGATATTTTGTAATAAGTAAGGATACGATGTATGGATGAACTTCTTTAATACAAGTAGGAGCGACGTCTCGGTGTAGGTTCTTCCACCGTTAGCAAGCAAGTGATGTACAGGGTGTGGTTGACCAGTATATAAACTTGGTTGGTACGTGATGAAGGCTAGGATAGGTCTTCAGCAACCCATGCATGTCGTAAAAGCATAGGTATGGTCTGATGGAGCTTTCATTATTATTACTTTGATTTCAATCCATCAATATTTGATGCATATGTCATCATGTAATTAGTTCAACGCTGTCTCACTCAAGAACTTCAACCTGCTCACTTACTCGTACCTCAAACTTCAAACGGATGAGAATGTGTGTTTGAAACTCACAGGAAGCTTCTATCAAATTTTGGTTCACAATGCCCCAAAATGTGTTGCGTGTAATCTGACGAATGCGGATGATATTACGGCCACAACTCATTTCTGGTTGAGTTATCGTCAAAAAGAATGTTCAACATTGATCAAACATCTTCTGAGCAAAAGTCCTATGACGCTCTCTAAAATCTGGGTAGAAAGAGCATGACTGATGGACCTCAATAGTTAGGAAAAGTGACCACCAAAGGGAGAAGCTGATTGACTATTGCTAGACATTAAGGGATAGTTGACTGATACGACCTCGAAGGTTGGGAAATGTGACCACCAAAGGGAGAAGCTGATTGACTATTGCTAGACATTAAGGGATAGTTGACTGATACGACCTCGAAAGTTGGGAAATGTGACCACCAAAGGATGAAGCTGATTGACTATTGCTAGACATATTAGGGGTTAGTTAAGTGATACGACCTCGAAAGTTGGGAAATGTGACCACCAAAGGGTGAAGCTGATTGAATTTTGCTAGACATTAAGGGATAGTTGACTGATACGACCTCGAAAGTTGGGAAATGTGACCACCAAAGGGTGAAGCTGATTGAATATTGCTAGACATTAAGGGATAGTTGACTGATTGGACCTCGAAAGTTGGGAAATGTGACCACCAAAGGGTGAAGCTGATTGAATTTTGCTAGACATTAAGGGATAGTTGACTGATTGGACCTCGGAAGTTGGGAAATGTGACCACCAAAGGGTGAAGCTGATTGAATATTGCTAGACAAAGGGATAGCTGACTATTTGGAAAGTCGAGGTCACCCCTCTTGTCATACAGTCATGTGGAGCGTGTTTGGTCACTTTGTTTATACATAGATCTCAATTTGAAACAGATTAGGCGGTCTCTTTGGTCTTCTTTATTTCTAGTTCAGGTGGGTTATTCAGTGGAAGGGAATTGGCTATTTGAACGTTATTGAACAATATCTGATGACCGATAAATCTGAAGCTGAAACTGCTTGGCAAAAACCCGTTTTTTTTTATTTTGCCAATCCGAGCAGAAATTCCGATTCAGATGCGATTTGTATCAAAACAATCCGTTCCCCAAATTGGACGTTGGTTTGTTTGTTTGTTGTTAAACGCCGCACTCAGCAATATTCAAGCTGTATCACGGCGGTCTGTAAATAATCGAGTCTGGACCTGACAATCCAGTGATTGAACTCATGCGCTTCGATCCATGCAATTGGGATACGATGTCATGCTTCAAACAAGTAAGCGAGCCTGACCACCCGATCCCGTTAGTCGCCTCTTACGACAAGCATAGTCGCCTTTTAGGGCATGCATGGGTTGCTGAAGACCCATTCTACCCCGGTCCTTCACAGGTTCAAATTGGACGTAGATATGATCAATTAGGAGGTCCAGCATATTGTTTTGATTTCATTTTTTGACAAATGGTCCTGGCCCTCTGATGATAGATATGTAACTTTATCAATGGTCACCAGGTTTAGTGACAGATGTCCTTTGGATCAAGGAGTGAAGTTTTTACTTCAGTTTTGTTTGTGGGATAGGAGTGCAGAAAGTTGAAAAATCAAATGTTGTGCGAGGAGTGAACTCGGTTCTTTCCTGAGATTGCAAATAAGTTCTTTGATCAATAAATTAATGCATAAAGGCCTACATACATACAATGGTTATGGTATTCGAGGCTTTGTCAGTTGAAACAACTACAAGCGTTCAAATAGGGCAGCCAGCCTTTGGATGATAGCTGGCTGGGGCAGAATGGGTATATTCCAATTCTGTTTCCTCGTTTTCAGTGTTTGCATTCTACCAATAAAAACATCACGCACTGATTTCACCAACTTTGAAATACATTCAACACGGTCCTCTTATCTCTTTGTATACTTCTACAGCACGTGTCCGTCTCGCATGTGACATTTCCGCATCAGCGACCAAAAATATGTCCAATGAAATTACCTATTTTGATTTGTACCATGTTTTCTTTTTAAATTAACAATTGACTTGCCTTTGCATGTGTTTGTGACGGGTGCCACCGCTCACTTTTCTCGAAACCCGGTATGATCACTCTTTCATAATGATTCATAAACTCATAATCTAGTCGGAATCGTACAATGAACTCGATTATAGAACTGGATTTTGTCACTTATATTCCACATTAAGCTGGCATAGCGTGATACCATATATAGTGATATTAAACCAAGCTCACTCACCCACCAACTATCTATTATTGAGCCTTGACTCATCATACTACTAACGAAACTAAACGGCGAGGTTTCATCACACACTTCACAAAGACTCTCTGCCTTTCTCCACAAGTGTTCACTAGCTTTTATCAACAACAAGTAACAGCAAGAACGATCATTCATAGAGCGCTATGTACAGTGAGCCCAGGTTAGGCGTTATATTATCAGGCCTCGAAAGGCAATCAAATAATCTATACGGGTGGGCGACAGTTAATATTATTGTATAAACCCGGACGTTGATTTCCTGGGGAATTCGTAAGCTATGGCTCATTCGTTTCTCTCAGGGAGTTCACAAAGGTATGTTGTAGTGGTTAGAGAGAAATCCCAAGGATACCTGCCTTTATATGTAAAGCCTCGTAGGGTGTGAGGGTGGGGGACTACTCCAAATAATCAATGTATGTAGACGTCAGATCCCCCTTATATTATATTTTTTCTGTAGCGCAACTCTGTATAATGACAGGTCACCCGTGCTCAAATTCGAAACTGTAACTGGTTCAATTACAATCGCAAATCTAATATTTTATGATAACGTATTTTTTTCCGTTTGGAGACGGTCATCTAATACATGTTACATTTGTTCAACTTGTAACATAATGTTCATAGATATGATCGGGTGGTCAGGATCGCGGACTTGGTTGATGCATGTCATCGTATCCCAATTGCGTGGATCGATGCTCATGATGTCAATAACTGGATTGTCTGGTCCAGACTCGATTATTCACACACCGCCGTCATAGATGGGATATTGCTGAGTGCGGCGTTAAACAACAAACAAACAAACAAACAAACATAGATACGATATCTTGATGTTACACTGTCTGATTGCTTGATATATGGGCGACATTTCGGTCAAAAAGTACATCAGTAGAAATAAAGGTAAAAAAATACCCAGTAAGAGTAAACTTGTTCGTGTAAAGTTTTCAGTCTTGCTTATAAAGGTCAAAACACAAAACAAAGAGACGTCATATGAAAGAAAGAAAGTTCATGACGTCTTCAGGCTGTTCGCATGTTCGAAACTCCAAAAATGACTTCATGATAAAACAATGTTTTACCAACCAGCCTTCGTTCTGAATTGTTCCTTGCGATTTATCGCGTAGCTGTCAGATTGTGATCAACAATACGCCTAAAGAACGTGTGGAGCGAGTTGCGCCGTCTTTCACGACTCTGCCCCCAAGTGACAAAGGAACTGAGAGACATTGCGCGTGTTGCTGTCAAGGCGGGTAAACATACCCTGAACGGTTGATTGAACGGCTGTGCGTGTGGCTACGTCTTGACTGGATGTTGTGGATTGCTACCTCAGCCACAGGTGAGATGCTTTGTTCTGCTTATGTATTCGTACTTTTTTTTAATTTGTACATGTCTTCGACCAGCAGTTACATAATCACTTAGATGTCTCCTTAAACAGACAGACAGACAGACAGACAGACAGTTTAATCAGTAATTTAGGTACACCGGATGAACAGTTTGTACAAATAGAGTTCACAATATCACATTCTGTGGACCATTCACATACATTTACATTAAAATTGTGCAATGAAATTAAACTGTGCTTATAAAGGTGGTCAAACGGAAATCTGTGAATGCATTCCTTTAGATTTAAGTAAAGGTGATAATACTATATTCATTGGTAGCTGAACATTTGAAATGGTTGGATGGGAAGTGTGTGTGTGGGTGTGTGTTTGTGTGTGTGTATTTGTGTTGGTGTGTATGTGTATGTGTGTGAATGTGTGTGTATGCCTATGAGTATGTCTGTTTGTGTGTATGTGTGTTTGTATGTGTGTATGTGTGTATATGTGTTAGTGTGTGTGAGTATGAGTTAGTATATGTATGTATGTGTGTGTGTGTGTGTGTGTGTGTGTGTATGTGTGTTTGGGGACGCTTGCATTAGTACATGTGTGAAATGTACGCTTGTAAAGTAACAGTGCATTATATAAATTTCATTTAAACATAATTAATTTTCGTTGTGTTCATCGTAATTCCTTCATTCTGATCAGCTGTATTGGTCATGCATACATTTCCCAAAGAATGTAAAAAATTAAGCTGCGCCCACCGAAGTGGACTACTTTTTTCACTGCGGAATGTCGGGAATCACAATGTTACAGTGGAGGGAATATCCCTTTCTGCTCACGTGTATCGTCATGCACAGGACATAATGTGGGCGTATTCATTGTCCAAACAACCCTTTGAGGCCAAGAAGGAATGCAACAGCAAACGTGCAGGCTCGCTTTTGTGTCCGCCGGGGCTCCACAAATGTCATGTCTTCGGTTTCATTTCTAACCCGCATTTTTCCAACTTTGTCTTCCCGTCCTCAGGGATCTAATGTTTGAATCTGGCGATAACTGAATCTGGTTTTCCTTTGAAACAACCGCCTCTACCCGGACATATTTGTTAAGGTTTGTTACAGTCTGATTGTCGCTGTTCTTCTCACGTCTTGCATTGATTGACTGGTCCTATGGACTTTGATCATACTCTCCGTTGATTGGCTACTGACTTTGTGGGTGTGTCAATTTATGTGCATAAATTAAACAATCACCTGATTCATGACACGCCACAGTATGTATTCCTACACCGGGAATGTTTATCAATCCGGTCATTTTTTCTGCTTTGATAAATATAACTGTTGTTGTTTAAACTATTGTAGATGACACATGTTTTCGTTGTCGAATTTAATTATAAGGATTGATTGTAGATGTTTTACGGTTCATTGAGGTATAATCGAAAAACCGATGTGCCACTCGGATTCATACAAATTTCACAACGGTTTTTCGATTCATCCCTCAATGAACCGAAAAACATCCACTGTCAATCTTTAAGTAAGTTTATTCTAAACTTAAATTATGCATATTTCAAGACGTATTCACGCAGACATCTCTACTTTAAGGTCGTGATTCACAATTTGCAGATGCATGTTAATGCATGGTGCACAATGGGGACGTTTGAGTGTTTGTTGGGAGCATTGCACTGTGTCCTTTTTGTGAACAACATGCAGTGATTGTTTAGCTTTCAGGCGCTCAGAAAGGCAATTTTGCTTAGCCGTAAATAACGTTTACGCAACGCCACGGATTTTTGAAAATCATCTGCTACGCGCCGAGTTGAATGTTGGAAACAGGAATGTTAGAAATGAAGTGGCCATATTTTCCTAGTGTTCATGATAACACAATATTAGAGACGTTATCTTAGTCCTGGTTCCATCTGAACCGCTGCTGGTCGTACCAGGATAATGCCCTCCCACATACTGCACGTGTCTTAACGTTCGTTAAACTGGTACAAGCAGCCACATCCACGCGCGAGCTTGCACGTTGCAAAATGAGTGCAATAATCTTGGACGCGACTTTGAACTCTATTTAACCTCATCTACTACCACAACTACTACTCCTACTACTACTACTACTACTACTCCTACTACTCCTACTATTACTACTACTACTACTTTTAACTTGCGTCAGAGGCGGTGGACAGCATAGTGAATAAAATGCTCGCTCATCACACCAAAGGCCATTGTTCGAGTCCCTCATTGGGTGCAATGTGATAAGCATGTGCGTCCCCGTCGTGATATTGCTTGAATATTGCTAAAAGCGACGTGAAACCACAATCACTCATTCGACATAACATTCGACCCGTGAAGATCCAGATCCGGGGTAGAACAGGTCTTCAGCAACCCATGCTTGCCGTAAAAGGCGACTATGCTTGTCTAACGACTAACGGGATCGGGTGGTCCCGATTGGTTGCTGAAGACCTATTCTACCCCGAATGTAGATGTCTAGCGTTCGATCACATTATTAAGAAGCGTGACGAGAAGAACAATAATCTCACTATGTATTTCTCTTTCCAGTTTGTAGAAAATGACGGTTAAACACAATCAAGTACTTATCTCACTGATTCTGACTCTTTCTTTCATCAATGGTAAGTATGTTTATAATTCAAAAAGGTAGCCTTGCTAAATGCATAAATTTTATATTTTCGTCATGATTAATTATGTTTTATCAACTTGAAAATATGTTTGTAAGTAATTTGAAAATATATAAATTGTAAGTAATTTAATGGCGTTTGGTGACCAAATATTTGCATTTGTTTCCATTGATTCTGATAGGCTAATAACGATGTCACTGATTTTGAATATTTGTGAGTCTGTGAAGATATGATTGTGTACTAAATAATTATCCCCCGCCGCGCGAAAGCGCGAAGCGGGGGATATAGTATTCACGACCGTCCGTACGTCCGTCCGTACGTCCGTCCGTCCGTCCGTACGTCCCACCTGTTTGTTGCCGCGATATCTCAAGAACTAAACACTGGATTGTCTTCATATTTGGAACTATGGTGTATATACAGACTCCGCAGACACCAGTCGGTTTTGGTGACCTTGATCCCATTTTCAAGGTCACAGCAGACAAATCTGCTTTTAGAGTTGGAAAACGGTGTTGCCGCGATATCTCAAGAACTAAACACTGGATTGTCTTCATATTTGGAACTATGGTGTATATACAGATTCCGCAGACACCAGTCGGTTTTGGTGACCTTGATCCCATTTTCAAGGTCACAGCAGACAAATCTGCTTTTAGAGTTGGAAAACGTTGTTGCCGCGATATCTCAAGAACTAAACACTGGATTGTCTTCATATTTGGAACTATAGTGTATATACAGACTCCGCAGACACCAGTCGGTTTTGGTGACCTTGATCCCATTTTCAAGGTCACAGCAGGCAAATCTGCTTTTAGAGTTGGAAAACGGTGTTGCCGCGATATCTCAAGAACTAAACCTCTCGATTGTCTTCATATTTGGAACTATGGTGTATATACAGACACCGCAGACACCAGTCGGTTTTGGTGACCTTGATCCCATTTTCAAGGTCACAGCAGGCAAATCTGCTTTTGGAGTTAGAAAACGGTGTTGCCGCGATATCTCAAGAACTAATCGCTGGATTGTCTTCATATTTGGAACTATAGTGTATATACAGACACCGCATACACCTGTCAGATTTGGTGACCTTGACCCCATTTTCAAGGTCACAGCAGGCAAATCTGTTTTTGGAGTTGGAAAACGGTGTTGCCACAATATCTCAAGAACTAATCGCTGGATTGTCTTCATATTTGGTACTATGGTGTATATGGCGGGGGATATTTCGTCACTCTGTGACAAATACTTGTTTATAAGAATTTCAATATTATTTTGTATTGACGGAGATATTTTTCACAGGGGGATCAACGGATTTTAAAAAAAGTGTAACACATACCGAAACGCAGAACGTTATTGAAATAATGACTACTTTGTGTGGTGTCTTTGGACTTTTTGCATTACATGACAACTTGTTTATCTGTAGCAAAGGCCCGTGGCTAACAAAATTAAATTGCTGCAGTCAAATCATGTGTGATTTCATGGTAATTTTCCAAAATGTAGTGTAAAATTAATGAAGAACATTGTGTGTGTTTCTATCCACATTCACGAGGGGTGTGGATTGGGGAGGGTCTAGCCGTTAACTTTCCAAGTTGCCTGATACAGCTGGTGCTAAACATATATTTACTTTAAGTACAGCCATCTGTTTTGATTGTATCATCTTGCAATTATGTTTGTAAGTGATTTGAAAATATATAGATTGTAAGTAATTTCATGGCATTTGGTGACCAACTATTTGCGTTTGATTCCATTAACCAACACAAAATAAGACCAAACCTATCAACGGACTACTGTTTCTGATAGGCTAATTACGATGTCACTGATTTCGAGGTCCTAGCCGTTAACATTCCAAGATGTCTGATTCGTGCACATGTCGGGAATCGAACCCGGGTCTTCAGCGTGACGAGCGAACGCTTTAACCACTAGGCTACCCGACCGCCCCCCGTACCAAAGAGAGGTTGGCAGTCTTATTTTTTGTTGAGAGTTGAGAGTCTTCTTTGGGCACAGTAACTGTAAGCCCTGAAATTAAATGAGTCCTTATTGTGAAAAGAATATAAAACACGTTTATACTCACCACCGGGAACATTATAAACGCCCTTTTTATCTGAAAACATGACAGGTGATATCGATTAAGATGAAAAATAAATAAAAAAATAAAACTCTCAAGTACATGTAATTGCCTCGGCACTGATTTGTCAAAGTGAAAAAAAGTATTTGTGTATACGTTTAAATTAAGCTTCCGGCATATCAATGATCTGATATCATTTCATTGTGGTCAAATAGCCAATTCCCATCCCAATATGTATCCATTTGAGACCAGTTTATCCACTTCTCAGTTTTATATCTAGATTTATACATAAACGTTCCGAGTGACAAACAAAGACTGTATGGGAAGAGGGGATTACTTCAACGTTTCCTTTATGATGAGGAGTATTTCAGTAGCTCCAACTTTTGGTGTCTACATTTCATAACTTTGGAGATACAATCAAGCACGCTGTTTCAACGAAGATTTCAAAGAGCGTCTCTTGCTCAAGACTTGCTTGATCAGGGTTACAAGTTTCAAATCTTTAGTAGACAATTCAAAACGTTTCATGGTAAATATGTGTGCCATATGTTCCTGTGTGTCTTTCAGGCGAACAGTTGACTTGGTTATACGTGTGTTTATGATGGGTTCTACCGGTGGTGCAGGATACTGTCACCCTTTATTTTCACTGTTTGACAATGATTCATAAACACATGCTTGTGATGTAGACATAATTATGTAATGGACTCTGCATTTAGCTAAACCGTTTTATTATTATGGAAACGGTTTCATTGCTTAATTATTTACTTACAAGAATTGACTAAATTGTATTTTTGCATTTATGGAAGCATTGAACACTGATTTTAATCATGTGATCAATACTTCTGTTGGTGTAGTCCCCACAGACGCCCTGTGTCAAAGGGGAGTGGGAGCACTGAATTATTTAAAAACCTTCAACCAAAGACAAGTTTGAGATACATGAAGATGCTTGTTCCCTAGACGTGGCTGCTTCAAGAAATCTCAATATCTATATGCAAATGTACATATGTCTTAGATGATGTGCTTCTCATACGTTTTTTCGTTCATTCTTTTCAGATGTGTCTTCAAATACAACTGACACATCCACGCTAATTGGTACGTCAGCAAATCTATTTTTTTAAATTTAATTTTCCAATGATATAGAAAGTGACTCATTATATATTTCGGATTATTTTGGGGTTTGTAAGATATTTTTATCAAGGATTAAGTCAATTGATTGCAATATTCCATGGCGGCAGATGACTGCCAATGATCTTGAAGGACGATAGGGGGACGCAATTTCAAACCTGACGTTCTTGGATCAGTAGTGCATAATACTGTAATGTTTTGATAAAAATCATTAACTTGGCGAGGCATACTGCATAAGACTCTCCCAATGATGATTTGAGGGAGTCTGTCCCACTCCTCTTGCAGTGCCTGGGCAAGTTCAGTCAATGTAGTCGATGGCCTATGACGTTGACACACACGTTCCACTTTTATGTCCCAGGCGTGTCCAGTGGTAGAGGTAGAGCGTCCGCCCGGAGAGCGGGAGGTCCGGGGTTCGATCCCCGGCCACGCCATACCAAAAGACATGCTTGTGATGTAGACATAATCATGTAATGGACTCTGCTTTTAGCTAAACCGTTTTATTATTATGGAAACGGTTTCATTGCTTAATTATTTACTTACAAGAATTGACTAAATTGTATTTTTGCATTTATGGAAGCATTAAACACTGATTTTAATCATGTGATCAATACTTCTGTTGGTGTAGTCCCCACAGACGCCCTGTGTCAAAGAGGAGTGGGCGCACTGAATTATTTAAAAACCTTCAACCAAAGACAAGTTTGAGATACATGAAGATGCTTGTTCCCTAGACGTGGCTGCTTCAAGAAATCTCAATATCTATATGCAAATGTACATATGTCTTAGATGATGTGCTTCTCATACGTTTTTTCGTTCATTCTTTTCAGATGTGTCTTCAAATACAACTGACACATCCACGCTAATTGGTACGTCAGCAAATCTATTTTTTTAAATTTAATTTTCCAATGATATAGAAAGTGACTCATTATATATTTCGGATTATTTTGGGGTTTGTAAGATATTTTCATCAAGGATTAAGTCAATTGATTGCAATATTCCATGGCAGCAGATGACTGGCAATGATCTTGAAGGACGATAGGGGGACGCAATTTCAAAACTGACATTCTTGGATCAGTAGTGCATAATACTGTAATGTTTTGATAAAAATCATTAACTTGGCGAGGCATACTGCATAAGACTCTCCCAATGATGATTTGAGGGAGTCTGTCCCACTCCTCTTGCAGTGCCTGGGCAAGTTCAGTCAATGTAGTCGATGGCCTATGACGTTGACACACACGTTCCACTTTTATGTCCCAGGCGTGTCCAGTGGTAGAGGTAGAGCGTCCGCCCGGAGAGCGGGAGGTCCGGGGTTCGATCCCCGGCCACGCCATACCAAAAGACATGCTTGTGATGTAGACATAATCATGTAATGGACTCTGCTTTTAGCTAAACCGTTTTATTATTATGGAAACGGTTTCATTGCTTAATTATTTACTTACAAGAATTGACTAAATTGTATTTTTGCATTTATGGAAGCATTGAACACTGATTTTAATCATGTGATCAATACTTCTGTTGGTGTAGTCCCCATAGACGCCCTGTGTCAAAGGGGAGTGGGCGCACTGAATTATTTAAAAACATTCAACCAAAGTCAAGTTTGAGATACATGAAGATGCTTGTTCCCTAGACGTGGCTGCTTCAAGAAATCTCAATATCTATATGCAAATGTACATATGTCTTAGATGATGTGCTTCTCATACGTTTTTTCGTTCATTCTTTTCAGATGTGTCTTCAAATACAACTGACACATCCACGCTAATTGGTACGTCAGCAAATCTATTTTTTTAAATTTAATTTTCCAATGATATAGAAAGTGACTCATTATATATTTCGGATTATTTTGGGGTTTGTAAGATATTTTTATCAAGGATTAAGTCAATTGATTGCAATATTCCATGGCGGCAGATGACTGCCAATGATCTTGAAGGACGACAGGGGGACGCAATTTCAAACCTGACGTTCTTGGATCAGTAGTGCATAATACTGTAATGTTTTGATAAAAATCATTAACTTGGCGAGGCATACTGCATAAGACTCTCCCAATGATGATTTGAGGGAGTCTGTCCCACTCCTCTTGTAGTGCCTGGGCAAGTTCAGTCAATGTAGTCGATGGCCTATGACGTTGACACACACGTTCCACTTTTATGTCCCAGGCGTGTCCAGTGGTAGAGGTAGAGCGTCCGCCCGGAGAGCGGAAGGTCCGGGGTTCGATCCCCGGCCACGCCATACCAAAAGACATGCTTGTGATGTAGACATAATCATGTAATGGACTCTGCTTTTAGCTAAACCGTTTTATTATTATGGAAACGGTTTCATTGCTTAATTATTTACTTACAAGAATTGACTAAATTGTATTTTTGCATTTATGGAAGCATTAAACACTGATTTTAATCATGTGATCAATACTTCTGTTGGTGTAGTCCCCACAGACGCCCTGTGTCAAAGAGGAGTGGGCGCACTGAATTATTTAAAAACCTTCAACCAAAGTCAAGTTTGAGATACATGAAGATGCTTGTTCCCAAGACGTGGCTGCTTCAAGAAATCTCAATATCTATATGCAAATGTACATATGTCTTAGATGATGTGCTTCTCATACGTTTTTTCGTTCATTCTTTTCAGATGTGTCTTCAAATACAACTGACACATCCACGCTAATTGGTACGTCAGCAAATCTATTTTTTAAATTTAATTTTCCAATGATATAGAAAGTGACTCATTATATATTTCGGATTATTTTGGGGTTTGTAAGATATTTTCATCAAGGATTAAGTCAATTGATTGCAATATTCCATGGCAGCAGATGACTGGCAATGATCTTGAAGGACGATAGGGGGACGCAATTTCAAAACTGACATTCTTGGATCAGTAGTGCATAATAATGTAATGTTTTGATAAAAATCATTAACTTGGCGAGGCATACTGCATAAGACTCTCCCAATGATGATTTGAGGGAGTCTGTCCCACTCCTCTTGCAGTGCCTGGGCAAGTTCAGTCAATGTAGTCGATGGCCTATGACGTTGACACACACGTTCCACTTTTATGTCCCAGGCGTGTCCAGTGGTAGAGGTAGAGCGTCCGCCCGGAGAGCGGGAGGTCCGGGGTTCGATCCCCGGCCACGCCATACCAAAAGACATGCTTGTGATGTAGACATAATCATGTAATGGACTCTGCTTTTAGCTAAACCGTTTTATTATCATGGAAACGGTTTCATTGCTTAATTATTTACTTACAAGAATTGACTAAATTGTATTTTTGCATTTATGGAAGCATTGAACACTGATTTTAATCATGTGATCAATACTTCTGTTGGTGTAGTCCCCACAGACGCCCTGTGTCAAAGGGGAGTGGGCGCACTGAATTATTTAAAAACCTTCAACCAAAGTCAAGTTTGAGATACATGAAGATGCTTGTTCCCTAGACGTGGCTGCTTCAAGAAATCTCAATATCTATATGCAAATGTACATATGTCTTAGATGATGTGCTTCTCATACGTTTTTTCGTTCATTCTTTTCAGATGTGTCTTCAAATACAACTGACACATCCACGCTAATTGGTACGTCAGCAAATCTATTTTTTAAATTTAATTTTCTAATGATATAGAAAGTGACTCATTATATATTTCGGATTATTTTGGGGTTTGTAAGATATTTTCATCAAGGATTAAGTCAATTGATTGCAATATTCCATGGCAGCAGATGACTGGCAATGATCTTGAAGGACGATAGGGGTACGCAATTTCAAAACTGACATTCTTGGATCAGTAGTGCATAATACTGTAATGTTTTGATAAAAATCATTAACTTGGCGAGGCATACTGCATAAGACTCTCCCAATGATGATTTGAGGGAGTCTGTCCCACTCCTCTTGCAGTGCCTGGGCAAGTTCAGTCAATGTAGTCGATGGCCTATGACGTTGACACACACGTTCCACTTTTATGTCCCAGGCGTGTCCAGTGGTAGAGGTAGAGCGTCCGCCCGGAGAGCGGGAGGTCCGGGGTTCGATCCCCGGCCACGCCATACCAAAAGACATGCTTGTGATGTAGACATAATCATGTAATGGACTCTGCTTTTAGCTAAACCGTTTTATTATTATGGAAACGGTTTCATTGCTTAATTATTTACTTACAAGAATTGACTAAATTGTATTTTTGCATTTATGGAAGCATTGAACACTGATTTTAATCATGTGATCAATACTTCTGTTGGTGTAGTCCCCACAGACGCCCTGTGTCAAAGGGGAGTGGGCGCACTGAATTATTTAAAAACCTTCAACCAAAGTCAAGTTTGAGATACATGAAGATGCTTGAACCCTAGACGTGGCTGCTTCAAGAAATCTCAATATCTGTATGCAAATGTTCATATGTCTTAGATGATGTGCTTCTCATACGTTTTTTCGTTCATTCTTTTCAGATGTGTCTTCAAATACAACTGACACATCCACGCTAATTGGTACGTCAGCAAATCTATTTTTTAAATTTAATTTTCTAATGATATAGAAAGTGACTCATTATATATTTCGGATTATTTTGGGGTTTGTAAGATATTTTCATCAAGGATTAAGTCAATTGATTGCAATATTCCATGGCAGCAGATGACTGGCAATGATCTTGAAGGACGATAGGGGGACGCAATTTCAAAACTGACATTCTTGGATCAGTAGTGCATAATAATGTAATGTTTTGATAAAAATCATTAACTTGGCGAGGCATACTGCATAAGACTCTCCCAATGATGATTTGAGGGAGTCTGTCCCACTCCTCTTGCAGTGCCTGGGCAAGTTCAGTCAATGTAGTCGATGGCCTATGACGTTGACACACACGTTCCACTTTTATGTCCCAGGCGTGTCCAGTGGTAGAGGTAGAGCGTCCGCCCGGAGAGCGGGAGGTCCGGGGTTCGATCCCCGGCCACGCCATACCAAAAGACATGCTTGTGATGTAGACATAATCATGTAATGGACTCTGCTTTTAGCTAAACCGTTTTATTATTATGGAAACGGTTTCATTGCTTAATTATTTACTTACAAGAATTGACTAAATTGTATTTTTGCATTTATGGAAGCATTGAACACTGATTTTAATCATGTGATCAATACTTCTGTTGGTGTAGTCCCCACAGACGCCCTGTGTCAAAGGGGAGTGGGCGCACTGAATTATTTAAAAACCTTCAACCAAAGTCAAGTTTGAGATACATGAAGATGCTTGAACCCTAGACGTGGCTGCTTCAAGAAATCTCAATATCTGTATGCAAATGTTCATATGTCTTAGATGATGTGCTTCTCATACGTTTTTTCGTTCATTCTTTTCAGATGTGTCTTCAAATACAACTGACACATCCACGCTAATTGGTACGTCAGCAAATCTATTTTTTAAATTTAATTTTCCAATGATATAGAAAGTGACTCATTATATATTTCGGATTATTTTGGGGTTTGTAAGATACTTTCATCAATGATTAAGTCAATTGATTGCAATATTCCTTGGCAGCAGATGACTGCCAATGATCTTGAAGGACGATAGGGGGACGCAATTTCAAACCTGACGTTCTTGGATCAGTAGTGCATAATACTGTAATGTTTTGATAAAAATCATTAACTTGGCGAGGCATACTGCATAAGACTCTCCCAATGATGATTTGAGGGAGTCTGTCCCACTCCTCTTGCAGTGCCTGGGCAAGTTCAGTCAATGTAGTCGATGGCCTATGACGTTGACACACACGTTCCACTTTTATGTCCCAGGCGTGTCCAGTGGTAGAGGTAGAGCGTCCGCCCGGAGAGCGGAAGGTCCGGGGTTCGATCCCCGGCCACGCCATACCAAAAGACGTTTAAAGATGGAACTTGTTGTTACCCTGTCTGGTGCGCGGCATTAAGAGGCTAAAACAAGGACTGGTCGGCTCGGAGTCAGTATACCGTTTCTGAGTGGGGTATTCGTGCTAGACATGGTATCTCAGTGGGCTAGCACTATAAATCGGCTTCTGTAGGGACCAGAACAAGCGGCCACACACACAGGCCTTCATGCACGTCGCTATGTAAGTTCAATAATCTTGGACGCGACGTCAAACCCAATTTCACCTCACCTCACCTCCAGTGAAAGGCATTGGCTAATTGCTCGCCATGGCATTCTGTGGATGTTGTGCTTCTGGAGGTGAGCATTGATTATTCATTCACGATGAACACGGGCATGGTCGTCCTGAAAGACAAAACGTCAACCCAAACATCTTGCAAACGGGACAGCAAAGGTATCGGTATGTAGTCTCGACAGCACAATCCATTGAAACTCCTTGCACAATGTGTAGTGGGACTGCCTCAGTCATAGTGATCATTGTCATAGCCAGCATACACCATAACCAATCCATCGCGAAAGCTATATCAGACTGACAGTTTATTTTGAAAGCAGAATCGATAAAATTGACAGAAATAAGGTCAACACAGATGAATCGACCTTCCTTGAAAGTGTCAAAAACACAAATGACACCCTTCGCAAGTGTATGGCGCAACTACGTGTGGCACGTGCAAACTATAGGTTGTGTTTTTGTGTTACATTTTACAGACATAAACGTTCTTACGTAGGATGTTTGTCGTCAATACTTGTCTTTGTTCTGTTACTTGCTATTAGTATGTACATTTCCTGATTCCCTACATTTTTAAAGAGTCTATGTATAAAAGTCGTATGGCAAATGGGCATAATGGATATCTTATCTGAAGTCAAACTTTTCTTGAAATGAGACACTGTATAGTTGTTGTGATCATTTTATTGAGGTGTTTTGGTTTTAAAGCAGTTTCCTTACCTACAACGGCTGGGACACCAACATCAGCAGGTGCGTATGCAACAATGATGGCATATGTATTGCTACTTCGCTAAATACACATGTTGCCATTATCTCACAAGGCCATTAGTATTTTCAAATCAGTACCTTGACGTTCCATTTATGTCTCCATGTTTTGCACTTACCATGGACAGCAATACCGGGTCCCATAAATATGAATAAGGGAGTGAACGTTATCAAGGCATTCAAGATAAGGAAACAAATTTCAAATGTTTGTCGGATTAAATGTTTATGTGTTAGTATAAATAAATTTTGTAAATAATGTCCTTCGTGTGGTATCTTTTAACTATGTGCATACCTTCTAGAGATCAGAATCTACATCAGCATTTCTAAAAGTATGAAGTAGTACTTATGTTAATGACATGATGGCACGTCGTCCTGTGAAGGTGTATGTGCAAACCTTTCCGAAGCTTGAAGGAATCTTGGTGTGTATTCTACCCAGGGAAAAAGTCGACTTAATACACTGTGATGCATCATATATATTTATTTATGTTTCCTGTGTTCTGATTCAGTTTCGATAGTTTATCACATATCGCATTTATTAACTTCAGAGTATAATGGGAAGGTCGGGTAGTCGAGTGGTTAAAGCGTTCGCTCGTAACGCCGAAGACCCGTGTTCGATTCACGACATGTGTACAATGTATGAAGCCCATTTCTGCTGTTCCCCGCCGTGATATTGCTGGAACATTGCTAAAAGCGGCGTAAAACCATACTCACTCCTTCTTGAACACAGTCCATTAAAAGAGTATAAGTATTATACAGGTACATACGGATTTTGTATGCATTACATTGCCAAATCATAACTGGGAAAAGCATGACATGTTTTTGTAATTAGTCAGAGCTTATTGTTTCAATAGTTTCAACTTTGCTTGTTGCACTTGCTTTGTCAAACACGCAGTGTTGCCAAGGGTCTCCAGTAGATGGCACTTTTATATCAGCAACACCCACAACCGAAACAGGATATTTGCAATATCTTCAACATCAATAGTTATCTTTCATTTATTAGCAACCATTTATATAGCTAGTGTTTAACATGATGCCCCCACAGATTCCACGTGTCCGGGGGGTGTCGGTCTGCTTGGAACAGAATACACAATAGTAGGTGACAGAAGCAACTATACAGGCTTGGTATGGGTACGACCAACTGATGGCCGGTATGTCGTCACCTGCAACCCCAGCTGCAGCCCCGTGGCTGGATACAGGGCAACTTTGAACGCCACACACTCGACACTCACTATACACAGTGTTGGGGTGGCAGATGCTGGTACATGGAAGATCGTTGATGCGAATGTAGGGGGTGCCATCCCTGTCGGCGTGTGTCAGCTGACGACAGCTGGTGAGTATTTGCCCTCAATACTTTGTCATAGTATAGATCATCAGATCATTTCCGAGTTAATGTATAGGCGATGACTAGCTATACTCATGAACATTAATTAATTCGCGTGAAAAGGTAGTGATTGATTATTGATTAATTCTTATACGTATGTATTAATCACATTAAGTGTGTGTGTGTGTGTGTGTGTGTGTGTGTGTGTGTGTGTGTGTGTGTGTGTGTGTGCGTGTGCGCGTGTGTGTGCTATCGTTACCCAGAAATCAGTGATGAAAATGATTCGTTTCGACGGTTGTGTACATCAATGTCGTGTGAATGTAATGACAAAACAGACTGCCAACCATGTAACTGCCAAATCAATGTATTGAGTCTGTATCTGTTACGGTGCTGGCACAGCCATGGCCATAACACTCACGGGGGCGCGGGTGGCCCAGTCGTCTTGGGCGCCGCGATTCGCTGTGCAGTGTTGCGTCCCTTGGGCACGCCAGAAACCTTTGATTGTGGGTTCGAATCCCCGTTCGCCCCGATTATGTGTCAGAACCATACCCGTGCTCGTGAGTTTCACCGAAGTGGTAAACGTCTGAGACCTGCATCACGTCGGGCTTTCCTCCCACATTAAGTTGACACGCCACAATATAACTGGAATACTGTTAAAAGCGTTAAACCCAACTCACTCATATAATCACAGGTGCCTTCTCTATTGTTGACAATGACAACCTTCGTCAGTTATTCTAACATGGCCGAGAATATCGCGAGCAGGCTTCTATCAGTTGTCATCATGGTTTTGGATGTTGCCTAAAGATGTGTCAAGAATGGGTCCAATAGAGAAGATGAACTGTGTGAATGTCTTTAAGAGTGAGCTAAGTCTGTGCCTGATGTTGTCACTGTTAAATGCACAATCGGAAAATGAGGTAACAGAATGGAATAGCATCACTACATTAATGTGTTGCTCAAACTTTTACAATGAACTCTGTTAGCTTTTGGCAGATACTTCTCAATATTATGGAGCATGTTTTCTAACTTTTTTTATATAATAGACGAATGTTAGGGTTCGTATCGTCTGCAGCTATCATTACCTACAAAACTATACTGCTTTCCCCTGTTGTAGGATCATCGTCCAGCCGTCTCTCTTCAACAACTCCAAGGTCCACGACAGTTAACGTTGTTGAGGGTCGGTTACCTGTAGGTGCTCTTATCGGAATTGTGATCTCCATCGTGATCGTTCAGGCTATAATAGTCAGTTTAGCTCATTATTCCGTGCACCTCGTGGACAGAAGACAGGGAAAGACGTTTTACTAAAGGTCGGAGGTTTGTGCTGGTGCAGAAAGTAGAAGCAACTCATATACTGATATCTTGATTTAATGTCCAGTACTTGCATCTACAAAAAGGCTTGTGTAAGATAAGACGTATCTGGATATAAAAATCTCAATATCAAATGTTGCTTTCCTGAATATCAAGTGCATATGTAAAGTGTTCAAATCTAAAGTTATTGAACATTTCTTGAAGACATATATACACATGGAAATCAATTTAGTACCACCCATAATTTTGTGATTGAGTCAATTTACTTGCGGCGTAGTGCGTTCCAGATGACACTGAGTATCAAATGCTGTCATAAAACATTTAGAAAGCAAGGCTTTTATTTGGAACAAGGAATTTATTGTGATTTGTTGGCATCTTTGGGAACACAACAAAGTGAAAATTACTGTTGCCACTCAATAATTATTGAACTTCTTCAAATCAGTCTGCATCAACAGAATCCCAAACCGGAAGATGCGAAAAAACTGTTCTTGTCAATATTTCGTGTAACTACCCTGCATACTGACGGGACACGTCTCATCATTTCAGACCGCCTCCGTGGTCTTGTGGTAGAGCGTCCGCCCGGAGAGCGGAAGGTCCAGGGTTCGATCCCGGGCCGCGTCATACAAAAAGACGTTAAAAGATTGTACTTGTTGTTACCCTGTCTGGCGCTCGGCATTAAGGGGCTAAAACAAGGACTGGTCGGCTCGGAGTCAGTATACTGTGTCTGAGTGGGGTATTCATGTTAAACTGCGGCATGGTATCTCAGTGAGCTAGCACTATAAATCGGCATCAGTCCGGACTAGTACAAGCAGCCACACACACACATACACGTGCATGCACGTCGCTATATAAATGCAATAATCTTGGACGCGACGTTAAACCCAATTTCACCTCACCTCACCTCATCATTTCATGAATCACATGGTGCACTTGACGCTGAGATATTCAAGTCCACTTTGCACGCAAGGCAGCAGCAAGTTCATGTTTATATTGGACAGGTGGATCTGTTTGAAGCACTTGATGGCCTAAAATGTCCCACAGATGTTCTACTGGATTATGAGCTGGACTTAAGCGTCCCGATGGAATTCTGACGCATGTGATCTCTGATAAGGTCAAGTTTACAATTGAATGAAACACATCCCCATACCACATACCAAATGGATGGGTCTCTAGAATGTTGTTTGTTGTGATGCTTGGTCCGCCTTCTGGCTCTGTATCCAACTGCTTACAGACAATTTCTGATGTTTCTGATTGAAATGGCTCTGCCTGGCAGCAATTGTGCCTTTAAAACTGTTCAGTTGTCAAATGGACGTCGCCTTACGAGCCTTAATAATCTTCTCTCCTGGATGTCTCCATGACATCCCTGCAGTTTTTATTTGTTATTGTTTTTTAAAGATTTTATTTGTTTGTTTGTTTGTTGTTTAACGCCGGACTCAGCAGTAGTCAAGCTATATGACGGCGGTCTGTAAATAATCGAGTCTGGTCCAGACAAACCAGTTCTTGACATCATGAGCATCAATCCACACAATTGGGATCGATGACATGCATCAACCAAGTCAACGTGCCTGACCACCCGATCCCGTTATTAGCCCCTTACGACAAGTATAGTCGCCTCTTTCGGCAAGCATGGGTTGCTGAAGACCCATTCTACCCCGGATATTTACGGGTCCCCTGCAGTTTTCATTCCAATAATCTGCCATCTTAACGCTTCAGACATTCTACAATATGCCACGATAATGCTTTGTGATGTGCATGCTGCCTGTGTCGAGCAATGTGTATCTGAAATGTTCACGACTAATATGTGTTCTCTGGACTTGTCATGGGTGTTATACTTCATGTACAGTGTGTGCAACATCAACTACCGTGACAGTGGTATTGAATGACACGGTGTTGGGAAAGAGCCATTATATATGTACGGATTCAATTTACTCATATTTATAAGAAATAAAAATAGGATCTGAATTTCTACACTTCTGTTTTGTGAATCGTCCCTGAATATTATGTCGAGATGCAGCTAGAGTTGTGAAAAAGTCAATCGGTTCTTGTGTTTGTCCCGATTCATGAATGTTCATTTGGCCCTGTGGTAATTCTGGGGCAGAGAAGCTCAACAGTACTGTGGTTCGTGTGGTTATATGTGCCCTTCCTGATGTGTGACATCTTTCACAGAAGGTGCGCTCCTTGTCCATACATGTCATTCTTTGTCGTGACGTTTCAAACTCCATCCCGCTCATTAACTCTATCCCACTCACAAACTCCATCCCTCTCACAAACTCCATCCTGCTCATTAACTCTATCCCTCTCACAAACTCCATCCCTCTCACAAACTCCATCCCTCTCACAAACACCATCCCTCTCACTAACTCTGTCCCACTCATAAAACCCATCCTGCTCATTAACTTTATCCCACTCATAAAATCTATCCTGCTCACAAACAACATTCTGCTCATTGGCACCATCCCGCTCATTAACTCTATCCCTCTCACAAACACCATCCCTCTCACAAACACCATCCCTCTCACAAACACCATCCCGCTCACAAACACCATCCCTCTCACAAACACCATCCCTCTCACAAACTCCATCCCTCTCACAAACACCATCCCGCTCACAAACACCATCCCGCTCACAAACACCATCCCGCTCACAAACACCATCCCGCTCATTAACTCTATCCCTCTCACAAACACCATCCCTCTCACAAACACCATCCCTCTCACAAACACCATCCCGCTCACAAACACCATCCCTCTCACAAACACCATCCCGCTCACAAACACCATCCCTCTCACAAACACCATCCCGCTCACAAACACCATCCCGCTCATTAACTCTATCCCTCTCACAAACACCATCCCTCTCACAAACTCCATCCCTCTCACAAACACCATCCCGCTCACAAACACCATCCCTCTCACAAACACCATCCCGCTCACAAACACCATCCCTCTCACAAACTCCATCCCTCTCACAAACACCATCCCGCTCACAAACACCATCCCTCTCACAAACACCATCCCGCTCACAAACACCATCCCTCTCACAAACACCATCCCTCTCACAAACTCCATCCCTCTCACAAACACCATCCCGCTCACAAACACCATCCCTCTCACAAACACCATCCCTCTCACAAACTCCATCCCTCTCACAAACACCATCCCTCTCACAAACACCATCCCTCTCACAAACTCCATCCCTCTCACAAACACCATCCCGCTCACAAACACCATCCCTCTCACAAACACCATCCCGCTCACAAACTCCATCCCGCTCATTAACTCTATCCCTCTCACAAACACCATCCCGCTCACAAACTCCATCCCTCTCACTAACACCATCCCTCTCACAAACACCATCCCGCTCACAAACTCCATCCCTCTCACAAACACCATCCCTCTCACAAACACCATCCCTCTCACTAACTCCATCCTGCTCATTAACTCTATCCCTCTCACAAACACCATCCCTCTCACAAACACCATCCCTCTCACTAACTCCATCCCTCTCACTAACTCCATCCCTCTCACAAACACCATCCCTCTCACTAACTCCATCCCGCTCATTAACTCTATCCCTCTCACTAACTCTATCCCACTCACAAACACCATCCCGCTCACAAACACCATCCCTCTCACAAACTCCATCCCTCTCACAAACACCATCCCTCTCACTAACTCCATCCCTCTCACTAACTCCATCCCTCTCACAAACTCCATCCCGCTCATTAACTCTATCCCTCTCACTAACTCTATCCCACTCACAAACACCATCCCGCTCACAAACACCATCCCTCTCACAAACTCCATCCCTCTCACAAACTCCATCCCTCTCACAAACACCATCCCTCTCACAAACTCTATCCCTCTCACAAACTCCATCCCTCTCACAAACACCATCCCTCTCACAAACTCCATCCCTCTCACAAACACCATCCCTCTCACAAACTCTATCCCTCTCACAAACTCCATCCCTCTCACAAACTCCATCCCTCTCACAAACTCCATCCCTCTCACAAACTCCATCCCTCTCACAAACTCCATCCCTCTCACAAACTCCATCCCGCTCACAAACACCATCCCTCTCACAAACTCCATCCCTCTCACAAACACCATCCCTCTCACAAACTCCATCCCTCTCACAAACTCTATCCCTCTCACAAACTCCATCCCTCTCACAAACTCCATCCCTCTCACAAACTCCATCCCTCTCACAAACTCCATCCCTCTCACAAACTCCATCCCTCTCACAAACTCCATCCCTCTCACAAACTCCATCCCTCTCACAAACTCCATCCCTCTCACAAACTCCATCCCGCTCACAAACTCCATCCCGCTCACTAACTCTATCCCACTCATAAAACCATCCTGCTCATTAACTCCATCCTGTCGCAAAATTATATCGCAACCAACAACAGTGAAAGTTCAATAGCTTAGCATTGACGACTTACACCCAAATGCAGCTTTCGTTCCACTCTATAAGTGAGTGAGTAAGTTGGATTTAACGCCGCTTTTAACAGTATTTCAGTTATATCACGGCGTGTCAGCTTAATGTTGGAGGAAAGCCCGAAATGATGCAGGTCTCAGACGTTTACATATTCTAAACTCGTTGGTCGTAAGTGGTTGTAATAGACAGAAATATGTTGTAAAAGATGGCTTGACGTACTAATATACAGTACAACGAGCACCACTTTTGCGGATTGTAATATTTGTTCTTAATGTAGAAAGCATCATACTTTTGGTGAAACTCACGATAACGGCTGTGAGCTGAAACAAGCGAGTGAATTGGGTTTAACGCGGCTTTTAACAGTATTCAAGTTATATCGCGACGTGTCAGCTTAATTTCGGAGGAAAGCCTGGAGAGATGCAGGTCTCAGACGTTTACCGCTTCGGTGAAACCCACGAGCACGGGTATGCTGACAAACCTAGAAACCTATTCGGGGCGAACCGGGATTCGAACCCACAATCATAGGTTTCTGGCGTGCCCAAGGGACGCAACACTGCACAGCGAATCGTGGCGCCTTGGACGGCTGGTCCCCTTCCACTCTATGACTATTAGTTAGTCAATGGGAAGTAATTTTACAATCTTTGCAATTATTCGGGGCCACACGGCGTACATGTGGGGCTAGCCTAGAGGTGAAAGTGTTCGCTACTCACGCCGAGGCCCCGGCTCTATTCCCAACGTGGGTACATGTGTGAACTATTTCTGCTGGCCCCCACCTGGATGTTGCTGAGATATGGTCTCACTCATACCTTTGCCAGTAGTGCTCAAATAACAGCGTTTTATAGTGTAGATATTGGACTTAATTTGCGAAAGGAATTATGTGACGAAATGTTTCTCTTCGTGTGTATAATGGGGGCGATTATTCAATCTGGCGAAAAGCACACACTGTGATCTCGACACAGGATATGCTTACTAATGT